AGATCGAGAATAATGAGATCTAACGAGATTTATACGGTAAAATTCGAGGTAAAATTATAATAACACAAAGATCCTGTACGTATCAACTATCATCTCACAATGATCTCTATTTATATCTAAGTTCTCGAATCATGCAGCTGTTAGCTTGAGACGATTAATCTCGCATTCCTTTTCCTCTTTTGTCAGTCGATCAACAGAGACACAACTGATATTGTGTCGGAGAATGTCAGAAATAAATGGTGAGGTTTCTAATCGATAAATGATGAGAAAAACAAATACCTAAGTCCTAAGAGAAGCGCATCGCTTGGGTGTTTACGTATTGTGTTCCTCGCGTAGTTTATGCATTGATTTATATAGTGTTGGAACTAAAGGCAAAACCAATCATATATTAAAAAGTTCTACAACAGTTGCAAAGCTGATTTTTCTGCTGAACACAGCTATTCTTGGTACAATTCACTTAACGCTGCAAATTCTTCGTTGATCAATCAGAGGGAAGAATCTTATAAATGACAAATCAAAGAATGCTTCAAAACATTTTCAAATCAGATCAAAGGTGCGGACATAGAGTGAGCCTATATATTATATATACAGGATGTTTCAAAACACAGTGAAGTGATCGCATCCTCTGTTGTACATATATCATAAATTGAACTCTTATGCGGTGTCTACAATACGTTATGCCTTAAGCCATAAGAAGTTGATAAATCATAGTTGATTATTCTTTTCACAATCGAATGTGATTGGTCAATTTCTTACAGCTTATTGTTTTATTGTAGATATCGCTTTACGTTCGTTCTTTCTTCCTCTACGTCTATTTTTGTTTATCTGTGTTGTAAATTATTTTTATTATTTTAGTTGTAATTATATTGTATTTTATTAACCCCATTATGCGATCTCAATGTGTGCAATCGAAAACATGTAAATTCAACGTCATAACTTTTGTATCGAGTTCTCAGTGCTTGGATTGCATTTTTATAGAATGTTTAATAAATTAAGCTATCTCTCTCTCTCTCTCTCTTTTCTTTTTTAAGCCTTGTGTCTACAATGCTAGAAATCGTCTGAGACCTTGGACGGAGAAAGAATTAACAAATTACATTTGAACAATTAAATCATTTGATGAATGCGATTGTTCTTTTCCATCCGAAATCTCAGAACAATTTTTAACATTGTGGACACGAGATTTTATTTAGCGTCTCTTACAACATGGAAAGAACAGTTTTGTTGAAGTATCTAAAAATTTAGCTAAATACAGAAAATAATTTTGTTGGAGCAAAGCAAGTAATTATGTAGCGCAATTTAATTGCTAAAACGTCAAAACTTTTTGGAACATTTGATCATCAAGTTTGAGCGTCCAACATAATTATTTTTACGATTCAACAAAGTTATTTTCAGATATCTAAATCTATCTAGACAAATTTTTAAATACATCAGCAAAATTATTCTTTTTATGTTCATTTTTCTTCTTTTGACTCTTCTATTTTTACGTTCTCTACTTATTTGGACTCGATAAAAAAGCGGTAAAAGAAGATATGTTTATCGCGAAGATAAAAATACAGACCCAACGAACTGCGCCCACATTCTTCTTAAACTGAACAATGCTGATTAATAGATCAATCGTTGCGACGAATTTTTACTGTGGCATTCTGCGGAATATTGACTTGTTATATTATTTCTCGAAATGTAAATATTATCGTTTTATTAATTTTCTGTACGATCTCGATATATCGCGGTGGAAGCCTTATTTGTTATCGTTGTACTTTATCTTGTATATTTTTACGACTTTCTGCTGCTATCGCACATTTGACTTTTGCTCTATGTATCAAGTCAAAAATATATACGATGGGAAGAAATAGATAATGTCTTTCCATCGATTTTCATTTCAAAAGACTGTTTAAACACTTCTTCTTTATAATGCTAAATACACACAGTTTTATTTTTACGACGTCATTTTAACATATTGTCGATGATCTATGAAAATTTGTTAGAATAGTTATTCTTCTCGCAGCAAAAAAAACATAGCACCGAATAAAAAAGATGCAGTTCTTACGAATTAATTTAGATATTTGTTCCATTAGAGGATAGTTATTCTCAAACACGAATCTAGTATTAGTCCAAAAAATGCATTTCTTACGAATAAATTTTGATACTAGTTCCGTAATAATTAAATATCGTACGTAAAACAGTGTAATTATATCAGTAATTGCGCTTATAATTAGCGATATTAGTGACTACTTTTCAGTCACCGATTGCTTTGCTCTATAACTAGTTAAAAAGTAATCGTCAATCGTTAGCGTAATTACGACTCAAGACTATCGATCAATAAATCACAATTCGGTGATTATATTGATTTCTCATCAAAAAATTTTAAATGCTAAGCAAGTAAATACGATCGCCGTCCGCGCATTCATAATATATTGAGACAACCTAAATCTGCTGTAAACAGTGTGCTATATTCAGTACAGAGTGTTTTAAACTTTGCGAATATATTTCAGTAATGGATTCTTCTGCATATTTTATGTCGATTTCTTCCTTAAGCGATAAAGTGTTCAATTTCAAAAGCCCAGAGTTTTGCCTATAATGCATAAGAAATATACTGCAAAATAAATACTGTAAGCGAGAATTATTTGTTTTTAGTATTAAAAAAATTCCACAAATTTTTATTATCGCAAGCATTAAATTTATTCAAAATATATTCTGAATTTTAATAAATTTAATACTTCAATCAAGATTATTAAATTTATTCAAGATTGTTAAATTAAAACAAATAGGATTTGCTTATTATAAAAACTCCCTTCTTCAATCAATTTTATAATATTATATAATAATTCTTTAAAAAGAAAACAAATTCATGTTTTGAATACATAATGAGTCTTTAAAATTGTAATATATACGTATATTTTAAAATTATTAGCAAGAAAATATTCTTTGTTAAAGATAACCGTTACTTAAAAAAAGATAAATTAAGTAATCACTTTTCTTATAGCAATAATATTTTTCTGTATGTACGAAATCAATCAGAGTTCTTCATTTCATGGAAAGGAAAAACTCTGATTGATTAATCTTAAACATTATTTTAATTTAATTTCTAATTCAATTAAATTTATTATGTGTTTAAAGAATTATATTTACAAATTATGTGCAAAATTTGTACTCTAATCTTAAAGGTCAATTAAGTGAATTTAGTATTTCATGACCCATTTGCATCCACAAAGGTCAACGCACAATAAATATTTCTTCAAGATTATCATAAACAAAAAAAATTATAAATAATACTAATTTTCAAAATAAATCACAATATAAAATCAAAATTGAACTATATAAAAAATTATAAATTACAATATATTATAATGTAAATAAGTAAAAAATGCACGTAACTGAGCGATATGACTATTAAACAACAGTCGTGTAAAAATAAAAACAAAATTCCATAAAAAAGAATCTGAAGTTATGTGTGTTAGGATTATTGTCGCAATCTAGGTGATTCGAAAGGAAAAGCGATAAGACAAAACGACGAGAATCTATACATCATATCACAACTGCGATTCCGACCACAAGGATTGCAACTCATACGACGCGTCGTTTTCCGAAACACCCCGTAGACTCACCCGCAGAGGCAGCTCTTCAGGTACTTGGAACAATTGGCGATGCGCCGTCGCCTCGACGTCAGCTGCCTGATGCTGTCCTCGGACGGCTGCAGCAGATAGTCAGTCTCATCGTCGTCCATTTCAAAGTCCCGCTCGTCGGAGCTCAGTCGCAACGGCATCTCCTCCAGCCTCATGGCGGAGGCGTCGAGACGGCGTGCTCTTTCGTTCCCCGTGTTTTTTTTGTTTGTACTTTCTTTTTCCTTTTATACCCCTTTCTATTTTTCGCGCGTCACGCTACCGTCCCGTCCGGCTCTCCCGTCGACTCTCTCACCCTCGCGGCGACGGCGGGAGACGCGTGACGCGATTGACTGATGACGCGCAGCGGGTTAATCGCCGTCGTCTCGCGCGACCGATCGCTGCGGCACGACGTCCGCGGCGCATATCTTATCGCGGACGATCCGACCAGCTGATCTTGCAATCTACTCGGGAGAGTCGTCCAGCATCTGAGTGCTCCGGACTGATGCGACGAATCCGCAACGACGATGACGGCGACGACGACGGCGCGACGAGACGTCTTGTTTACGTGCACACACGCGCGCACGCACGCACGCACGGACGACCGCCGGGCTGCGTGTGCATCATGGCGGTCCCGCGAAACGCATAGACGGATCATGCGGCAAGTTCGCAGCCGTCAATCTTTCTCGAAACGGTCGACGCGCTCCCGCGCATGTAACCGATAAGAATAGACCAGGTGCTCTATCATTATCACGTTTACGCGACGGCTGTGTTGTCCTTCAAGTATGCGGCACTGTGCATACATACATACCGCACGCCGCCATCTTGCCCGACTAGTCACGTGTTCGCGTCGTCTGCTCGGTCCGCTCCGATTACTCCGAACGTCTCCGAACTGACTTCGACCTCCCTCTGCTCCGATTTGAACGAATTGCGCGACTTATCGAACCGCGTGATTATAGAGCGTTTCAATTTAATGTTCTTGTTTTTTAGCAACATATTTATCGACTAATCTTTGATTCCAATAATAGATAATAATAATAATTTAACAGAGTTGTTAATCACATTTAATCTATTTATCTCTCCCGTTTATCTATAGTGGATAATATTTATATAAAATAAGTATAGTTTTTTGTTTTAGCAAGATATCTTTCGATTATTCTTTGGTTAATTTCAGATAGCTTTTATTTGTAATAATAATAATAATAATTAACAGTTTTCAATTATTGATTTTGTTTCCTCTTCTGTTTATCTATGTGAATAATATTTGTAAAATGTATACAGTTCTTTATTTTAGCAACATATCTCCCTCGATTAATTTTGATTAATAGATTATTCGTAATAATAATAATAATATTTTAGCAGTATAATTATTTAATCTTCAATAATTTATTTTCTTTTATCTCTCTCATCTATTTATACATATTTATAATGTTATTTGTCATTATATATATATATGAGTACACTGTACTTTGTTAATTAAGCTTAACCTCATATTTCACGGCTAACGATTTGATCACATTTTCGAAAGATTCATCTGATGATCTTCCCTTCAGTTGCAATTGTCGGAAAAGCCGCTCGCACGTAAATTTCTCATCCCTCGTCATGAAGCATATCGTCAAATTGAACCGATTACACGTGCTCAGTTTGCCGAGAAGTTCTATAACTGGCGTTATATCATCCACTTTTGACAAATGCTGCAGACACGCGTTTGTAAAGTCACCGAGAAAAGATGCCGGAATTTCCACCCGAAAGACGTGATGTTGCAGATCGTTCCTATAATAAGAAATTTACGCCACTGACGTATGGCGACACTCTTATGTGTCTTATTTAATTCTCACCTTAGATTCCACATATAGGTAAATTTTTCGGAATGGTCTGTAATTGTTCTCCAAGATTGTAAAAAGTCCTTGCACATTTTCTGAGATTTTATCACAGTATCTTTGTTGCTGCGTTTATCTTGCGTCGATTTTTTCAAGGTTTCCGATACAGTTGAGTCATGAGACTTAGTAGATTTAATTAACGGATTCCATTGCACACCACTTTTAGATTTTATGTCATTGCGATCCAGGGGTTTCAAGTGAGCACCATTCACCTGCCGTTATAATTAATTAATTCAAAATTTACTGGAGAATATTTAAAAAATTATGATTCATTATAACTTAAATTATTTTATTAATATAATTTAATTTTCATTTAATTATTAATTTAATTTATTTTAAGTAATAATTAATTATATTAATTTAACTACAATGTTGAAAAATTCTCCAACTAAATTTTGAACACAAATCAAAGCACGATCATGTACACTAAAAATTTCTTATGTAATGACAAATAACCAAAATTACAATCACCATCTGTCTGAAGTGCTCATATGTCGGCACTGCTTGTTCAATCGCGCGAATTTTAGCATCATTTTGTAATTTATATAACTTATCAGCTGCAAGAGCTGCATAAAGTTCCTCTTCTAATCTCTTATAATCTATCGGCACTTTTAATGCACTCATAGTGTGTCTTTTTTAGCACGTTTCCTGCTTGAGTTCTACAGTTTGACATGATAACACAGGATAACACGACGGTTTGTCGTCATGGCAACTCCAGTATCAGCTCGATCTATTGATCAAAATTTTACTTGTTCTAATCCACAATCATTTTATTTCTTCATAATTCGTACAAAATTATGTAATTTTGTAATTAAAAATTATAAATAAATAAATTACAATTAAAAAAAAAATATATAAACATAGATAAGAGCAAAGATGCTTATTACTTCAATTCTTGGTAATAATGGGTTCCGTTTCAGATATAATCTTTTCCTTTGACATTCTATTTTGTCTTTTCTTCAGCAATCTATCATGGGTTCTCTTCATCTCGAGTATCTCCTTCATCTCCTCCTTGTCCTCCTCCTAAAATCGATAGCATCGACATAGAAAAACTATTTATTCTCACCCGCGGGTTTACGAATACTCACAGTTTGATTTAATCGAAGAACCAACGCTTTACGACCGTCGGACATGGGCTGAGAATAGTCTGTCAACTTTTTCAGTCTTTCAGCAGGACTCACGCCTCTCTCCACGACCAGAACTATGCGCGCCCACTAACATACGCGAAATAATTAACAAAGTCAGCCTTTGTACAACTAACTCGCTAGTAGTCATTTTATTTTTTTTTATATAAACAATCATCTAAGGTATTTTTACACCCCAATTAAAAATCATTATCGTTAACGACATATTGTACATTATTGATTGTTTTCCAATTTATTAGTATTTGGAAAAATTAGGAATATGGATTTACTCAAAATTTTCTGAAAGAGAAAAAATAGAAATCAAACAGATATTATAAACAAATTGAGCGCATTAAACAGCTTATTATATAACAGTATTTCTAAAAATACAGATATTAATTAATAATAATTTTTTGTTACGGGTTTTCAAGATTTTATATTTTAAATTTTATATTTAAACATTCGTAAAGAATAATTATTAGAGAAATAAAGTTATTTAAAAAGAAAGAAAATATGTTAAACAATATTTATTTTACAACAATTCACATTTTTTTCACCGCCGCACTGGGATATAAAAACACCTCAGATGATTATTTCCGGATTTCTATTCGGACCGCGTATACCATCGATAGTACACATTTAGTTTGGATTATATATAGCACGTTTATTACATGTGCTAAATATATTTAAAATATTTAATACATTTTATATTAACTTTAAAATTATTGCGCTTTATATCACCGACGACATTCCATATTATAATTATTCTGTACGTGTTAATTACGTATTGATCAATGATATTATGAAATAATTTATGGTGATGTATTTATTTATATTCAAAATATCAAACGACTCAAATGGAAAATTCATTTTATAAAACAATATATATTTAATAAAACAAAATAATTCTAGAAATATTATATTATATTAATATTGTATTATATGAATATTAAAAATGGCAAATAATATTCATATAACATTCTAGGAATATTGTACTTATAAAGCGTTGACGACGTACTTGCCGTTGCCATTCATTCCTGGTTTCAGCGATCTTCTGGTAAGTATTGCCCATCATAGCGATCAACATGTTCACGAGCAAGATTGCCACGATCGCCATGTATAATACAAATAGCAGCTGCAATTATATAGCGATTATCGTTGTAACGCTATTTGACCGACTACATTTGACGCTTTTTTGCACGAGTCATTCGTTACGTGAAAAAATTTGTGTGACTTATCTAATTGTCGTTAAAACATATCATGTGAATGTTAATTAGAAGATATGAAAGATGGTATTGTTTACTTCTATCTATGACTACTGAGCACATGTCTGAGCGACGGCAGGTAAAATACCTTGGCCTCGAATTCATGCTCGGTTCTGTCAAACGCGCCAAAGTAATCACCGAAATTCGTCATGCTCATCAGGAACATCGCCATAACACTTTCCATCGGCGATGGCATCGGATTCGTGATAGAGTCGTCGATGCCCTCTGGAGTATTCGGGTTGTCGAACGACAGGAATATGATGTAATATGCTGTGAATAAATTAGGTATCTATAATTGTAACAGCGTATTGTTTACATCGCGTGTGATATTTGTCCAAGATATGCGAGAAACCGTCTCGTCGTCGCGGAAATATTTAACTCTCCGAAGCTGAGTCCAAATCCGTAACACAGATGCTAAGTCTGTGAGATAATTTTATTTACGTTAAGAGGCACTAATTTCAAGGAATCAGAATGATATAACTCATATGAAAAAAAATGAACACTAAATTTGTTTTAATAATGATTCAAATTTGCACGATTCTAATGAATATTTTTTGGAACTATCTTTAACTATTTTTTAAAATTCGTAATAATCATAAAAATGGAGCTCTCCTAGCCTAATTATTTTACCTAGCAATTACAATCACAAATATCAAACACTTTTCTCTCAATGTGGGTCCAATAGACCACTACAGCTCTGGATGGTTAAGATGATGTTTTCCGGAACTAATTGATCAATCATCAGCTATGGATCATATTAATCTATAAGAGTTCTTATTGAGGAAGTCTCAAGGAAAAAAATCGTCTCTCTCTTCGCGAACGAACAGACGATCCATTCAAGCAGCGACGGCGCTATGTCGTTTGTTTGCGAAAAGTAAGACACAATGGCACATAGCGTTGCGGTCACGCTGCTGATTGCATAACGGCGTGCGTCGCATCATTTAACGTATCTCAAGACCTTCTCGGCGTAGCGCCTCTTTCTGCGGTTTCTTCCCCGCCGTTTGTTAGTACAGGAGACCTTCAACGAGTCGGGTGATGTGTGTCAGTGTCGCCTTACAGCGTCCAGTAAAATCGTCGATTAGATCACACAACATTACGCGTGTCCGATGCTGATGCTGTTATACCAGAGGCTAATTAACAATTGTTGGGAATTAATAGAATAAGGCACCGGCCGGTCATCGTCGGTGTGTCACCGGTGGAATTGATGATGTTTCTCGTTTCTTACACGTCCTATTATGTCTCTTATAGCTTCGATTATCAATTGCGATAATCGGCAACAAGGTTATTCGTTTATTGTGTTCGGGACAGACCTCATTCAGAAAGATAAATGGAACAGCAGTTACGTGAAATCGAAAGAGAAATATAAGGACCCTCTTTTTTATTTCGAAACGCCACGTGTTACCTTGAGAGAATCCCATGACGAAGACGAGGTAGATGGAGACGAATCTGATGAGGTCGCCCATGATCATCCTATAAATCATCACGACGAATGGTCCGACTGTCTTGAAGCCCCGGCAGAAAAATAAAAAGTATGGCGCCGTCGTCAGCATCACCACGACCGCTAGCATATCTTCGACCTCGTCGGAGCAGGTAAATCGCAGAACCGGGAACCACATCAGGATGCAGCACGAGATCAGGAACATCACGCGTGACGGCACCGTCATCTAAAAATTGCGCTCGCGTTAACACGAGTGGCGTTCTTGTGGTATATTTTGTAATTCGTTATAACATAAATCAGCCCATTTATAGTAGACGGAGAAAAATGTCTGATTGGATTAGTTAGAATTCTGGTTGAAAATGGACGAAGAATTTTCTGGTTAAATCTGCTAAAATTCTAATTGTGATACCTAATTCTGGTTAAATTCCGGAATTCTGATTCATATAATCAAAACTTTCTGGTCCATGGAACTTTTGTCCATTTTCTACTGAAAAGACATTGAGACATTTTTCTCAATGTTCTCAATGGGAACTTAATTCCATTTGGTAACACAAATCGATATAAGTTCTATCCAGGGCTGAGCATGTATTTGAAATACTTTCATTTAAAACACACTATTTGCAATACAAGCGTATTTTGTACTTTAGCGGATCACATAAAAGTATTACGTATTTTTTGTATTTAAAATCAAAAGATTGAAAGCCTTTTGTATCTTGTAATTCAAATAATAAGGTTGATTATCAATGTTAGTATTTGAAATACAAAATACACAAAATACTTTTATAATGTTTTGTTAATACTGAAATATAAAATACAAAATACTTTTATATATTCCCATGAAATACAAAATACAAAATATAATTATCTTATTAATACTGTTTTTCAAATAAAAGTATTTCAAATACATGTCCAGCCCTGGTTCTATCTTCGTTACTCAAACTGGAATGCCAAGGAAGATAGAATGATGTTTGTGTCACTAAATGAAAAACGTTCAATATTGATTTACAACGACGAAGTCGATTTAAAAATTCGAGAATTATTAAGATAAATCTTGTTACCTTTTGTATGTATTAAAAATAACTTCTTGAATGAATGACTCTTACGAGATTTTCGATGAACATATGAAGACCTAAGAATCTCGCCTCTCGCAACGCAGCCAAGATGTAGAGTACCGCTGCGATGAACATAAAAATTTCCGCAGTTAGACGAATCTTTGCACTCATTTCTGATAGCTGCATCAGTCTGCATTCCTCCGAGAAATCGTCCCACCTATTAAATAAGTATTTATTTCATGATTTTAATATGAAAAAATGCAATGGTATACACGCAAACAGCTAAGTCTGCTTGGCAGATTTTGTAAAATATCTGTAGACAAATTTTGCAGAAAAGTTACTTTCTAAAATATTTCACATCTTGCAATGGAATATTTTGGAAATACTTCTTATGTTGTGTAGGCATGTAATTAATATCTCTATTTATCAATAGCTTTTTGTAATATTTCTTGTAATATAAATTTCATTATAATATTAAATATTATATTTGAATGTACCAATAATCGCGATTAAGTTTTGGTCGCGCGACGTCGTCGATGATTGTCTTGACAGTTGAATTCGCGTCGGTTTTGTTGTAAGTATTCATAAAATAATCTGACGCGTTTGAAGGGCTATCGGTATACCACAACGTATGAATGGCGGCCTCGTCAGGAGGACTCAGAATGCCCTCGTTTTCGTTCAAGAGCAAAATGCTCTTCAGGGCTGACGTGATGTTTGACGTTACTTGCAGCTGGATCTTCTCTAGCGATTCCTGTGTCATATTTAAGGATGATTTGAAATTCGAGGTAAAAGCCGCCACGAGGCTATTCGTAACCAATTCTGACAGATCCGA